GCAGGGCCCAACTTGTTTAATTACTATAAATGATATAACTCCACATTAAATGCTAAAAAAATTATCTTATAAAAAAATGCTAAAAAATAATTTACATTTTAACATCAAGGAAGGAACAAACCTATTCAATTTGTTTAGGCTGTGTCAAGCTACATGTTGGTATAATGCACTATTTTCAAAAATCATATACACACACTGTTGCACAAGACGATGATAATAAACTTATATATTGTCTGTGGCAATAATCATATAATTGGAAGAAACAGTCAGAATTATCAATAGATCAGGAACACAACAACAAAATACCAAACATTGTCTGGATCATCACTTGGGTCGCATAGTGGTGGTTTTATTTGTGCCTCACGGTTTAGATAGCAGCTATTGTCGGAAGGTTTCTGCCATATTGCAACGTACCCATCTTTTTTCAAAAACTTCCAGCATAGACGAGTAGTAAGATTAACCATCTCTGAAGATTAAAAAAAAAACCTTAAACAGAGTTAGACCAACCCTAATAAATACAAAATATTAACGTAAGTTCGATACGGGTAGCAGAAATGTCTGAATAATGAATGTTGCAGCAGACAAGCAAGTATTTGACAGTTGACACCACCACATTTTAAGATGGTTCTCATCAAACATCTTTCAAGTCATAGCATGCAGAAAAGAGAACAATAAATTATAACATGAGAGGTAATGAATGGATCATTGAGAGGTAATAGGTGAAAGGATTTACCATTAAAGGATTAAATGTTAACTATACTAGATATCCTGTGACATTTAAAGGAACATGGTAAAAAAATTGTTCAGGCAATCATGGTAATAATTAATAAACAATCTGATGGATACATCATGTCTGAAATTCAAATAGTAACACAACTGAGCAATCCCTAAATACTATAACTTTGTAGCCTGTAGCTAAAAAACATCAATACATTCAATCTACACGGAAGCCAATTTGAATAATACCTTCCCATTGTTCTTCTAAAGCTTCCTCGTGCTTATAAACTGGTTGAGCAGCCCAGACAAAGTACCCTCCTGCCCTTAGAATCCTATTAACTTCAAGTAGCAAAATACCATCTTCATCGCCAGTAAAAAAACAATGTGTTAGATGAAATTTTGAAAGAACAACTAACACGAAGGTGGGGGTGACACATTGAAATAACACTCCCTTTATTTGTACTAACAGTGTTTTTCTACTAAGATTTCTAGCAAACAGAAAGGAGCCCAGCATCCCCTTCATTTTCCTTTCTTAATAAGCCAAAGATGACATTTGCAAAAGATTGGCATTGAATGGTTTCAATCTACAGCTACAATTATTAGTTATTAGCTTTCCCAATAATAAGACATATCATGGGGGATGATATCAGGATTCAAGAAGAAAGTTTGCGATGATAAAAAGAAAGACTACATGATCTTTGCTCATAATAGTAATTACCATCTCGAGTCCAATTAATTCTACAGCGCGAACAATGTATCAAGTCAAAAGCTTGGCTTGGATATAATAAACGTCTAGTTGCAAATGCAGCCACCATCGCTGGCACACCACGCTCAAGAGCAAATTGGATCTGATTCTCATGAACGTCCTTGGGAGCAACAGACATAGTGATGACATTTCTTGACAATAAGTATGCACCAAAACTAGCTACGCCACAGCCAACATCAAGAGCAGCTCTTATATGCTGACCGAACGTAATTTCAGGAACCATCTACAAAACACAAATATATAATAACATCAGAATCATAGAAGCTGCACTTATAACGATTTCAGAAGTGAAACCAAAATACATAATAACCTTAGAAATATGGTCCAAGTACTGATCAGCTCCATGTATAAACTGGGTACCTCCCCCTGGAAATTTAAACTTATCTTTGTCTTTGGAAATCCAGTTTTGACCCCCTTTATCATCAACAAGCCGAGTGTGAGGAACATTATTGTACCACACCTAAAAGAAGAAGAAAGGAAAGATAACTTGTATTAAGAAACCAATGTACCCAAAGAATAATATAAACCTGCATACTAGATTTCACAGATAAGTTTTCTAAGTCGAGTTACAATAACCATGGTTTAAAGCTGGTATTGCATTTAAGCTGCAATAACAAAATTTACACACAATTGCGGTTGAGGGAAAATGGGTTTGATGCGGCTGAAATTCAGGTGACAGAGATCTCTAAAACTGCAACTGTTAGACTCGGTAAGGCCAGAGTCTGGGTAGTTAGTTTAGTGTATGGTTGAGACGTTGGGTAAGTTAGGCTGGTAGTTATACAGAGGGGTGATAGTTAAATAGGCAAAAGTGCATATAGGGAAGCATTCTTTAGGTTTGTGAAGTTGTAAACAGAGTTTCTGCTCAGTTTGTGAAAGGGAAAACCTTTTTCATTTCCTTTGCTCGTTGTTTCTACCAAATTCTCTGTTTTTCCTTCAAACAGCAACATTGCGGCCACAAATTGCAATTTAAAACCCTCAAGCAATTCATTCACAAAGAAACAAAATCCTCACAACTAAAAGTCTAAAACATATTGGGCTAACTAAAATCCAACTCAGTATAACACAACAGACCAAAGGGAAAGTATCTGATCAATCATGCATTGATTCTTTTCACCGATAAAACAGTATCAGTACCTCGTCACGGCTTTTCGGCCATGGAATTGGAGAACGGTACCCTTTAGGCGGAGGAACAACACAATCCAACCCTTTCCCCTGAGAAGGACAATGACGCTCAAACCTCTCCCCTCTCTCCGTAGATTCCAGATTCCGAATCGCCTCTGCATTATCCAAACAAGGTATATACTCACTCATAGCGCTAGGGCAAACCCCAAACCTCTTGATCGCGAATTTCGGATCATTAGGCATTGCAGGAATATCAATTCTGGTCTCGTTGTCACTATCACCATCCACTATATCCGGATCAAATTCCCCAATCTCGAACTCCTCAGACATCGTCCCATTCTCGTTCACGATCCCAAATTTCTGAACCAAATCCACCGGCGCCGGAGGAGGCGGTGAAAATGACGGTAGCGGTGGTTCTAGGGTTTCAATTTGGGCAATCATGGCAGAGTCATTGAAAGAAAGGTTAAAATTGGGGGAAATGAAAACCTGAGGGGATGAAACAGTTGTTGTAGTGGTGAAGAAGATGAGGTGATTGTAACCGTCGGATTGAGACCATTGTTTACCGAAGAAGAAGAAAGTTACTGCGACGAAAAAGAAAGCAGTGATTTTGAGGAAAATGGGTGTTTGGAGAAAATGGGGTTTCATGATTCAATTGAGGAATTGAAGAATTGAGGGTAAGATTCAAAATTGTTACTTTTTTTTATATGAATGAAGAGATGAAGATTGAAGAAGGTTTTGAACTGTGACTGTTATGATTATTAAGGAAAATGAGAGTGACGAGTAAATGGCGCTGAAACGGGAAAGGAACTGGATCTGTTGAAACTTCAACCCCATGACACTCCACATTCTTTAATGGACTTTCCTTGTATCCAAAGTTTCGTCATTTTCTTAAACTATACATTTTTTAATTCATGAATTAATACATCATTATTAAGACTTTACTACAATGCATATAGCCATATGGGGATGGGTAGATGAAGGAAATTTTTACAAGTATTTAATTAAAAAATAATTAATAATTTAGACTTGCAGTAAGTTTAATTTTTGTTTGACACAAAAATAAAAAATATATTTTGTGTTTAAATAATTTAATTTTAATAAATTAATGGTATTTAATTCATACAATTAGTTATGAGATACTAATATTTTCTTCGATCCATAATTGATTCTGAACTTGAAATCTCTAACTCAAAGATCATTTTATCTAATTTAGGCTTTAGTAGAGTTTTCTATGTTTTAACCTGACAAACTCTTTAGAAATCTCATAGCCCAAAAATTAGAGCACATATCAATATTACTACTCATAGTAGATTTTTCTGTATTAAGAAGATCTATATTGGTATTGGTCTTATTAATATTGAGTTTTGAAGTGGAAAACATTTTAAACTTCATTCTTAACATAAGACTCGTTTTATGATTCTTTTAGACTCATTAAAAAATATATACACTATTTCTATTATCTTTCCAACCCATTGAGAAGGGGGAATGAATATTTTCAATGTCCGATTAATGCTCAAACATCTAATTTTATGTATAAAAATATATAATTTAAACACAATTTTGTTAGTTGTGCTCATGAAACCAAATAGAGGAAGTGAATATGATTTTTCCTTTTTAACGGGTGATTATTCTTTCACGATTAATGTTTTATACTCATTATAAATTATTCTAAACATCATCATAACTGAAGTAAAATGATACATGTTTTCTAAACCTAAGAAACTAATATGTTATTTCAAATCACACATGTTGTTTTTTACGGTGAGAAAAATTTATTAAAATGGCATAACATTTATCTTCCTTCACCTCCCTTTCTCTTTCTTTCTTTTTTATTTTTTTTATTGTTTTTCTTTCCTTTCATAATGTCAAGCCCTAAAATTGTAGTTGAAGCTAAGTGAAAAAATATAAGATCCCTAAAATGGATATGATACATATAAAAACAAGATAAATCATAAATATCTTGCCATGTTTTTAGTTTTTCTCGAGTATTAGGCTTAGAGATGGATTAGAAACTTTAACCTCTAGGAAATTAAATAAGAGTTAAAGAGGAACTACTCACCATCAAACTCCGTTTATACTTGTAAAATTTCAAGCAACTAACATTATACAATAAAGTAGTATTTATCAACTACACAATCATTTCTTTTCTAATAAAAATTCAAGCAAATAAGGGTGTATATATATTTATATGTCGGGAGAATCTAATTACTCTAAGAGTAAGTGGAAAAAAACCTACTCCATGACAGCAACTTCCTTGTGGGGGTTGGTGTTCTTTGCGATCGTTTTGCTTGAAACTCAAAAATTTAGTTTGGAAGTAAATGGGAATTCGGGTTTTGGTGCTATTTTTGGTATTTTTGGTTTAAATGGATGTTTTGGTTTATGGTTGGGTGAGGCAATGGGTTATGGGGTTGTTGTTCTCGGTTTTGTGAGGAGTGGGGGTTGTAAGTAATATTTTTGGGTCTTTTGGGTTGACTTTGGTTTATGGTTGATAGGAAATGTCTTTGGCTTAGTTTATGGCCGTGGGGATGGATTTTTGGGCTGGTGTGTGGCTAGGAAATTCTGACCGAGGCTTTTATATCATGGGTAGTTTTTCTGGTCGAGGGTAGGTGTAGGAGATGTGTTTGGGTTTGTTTGGCCGTGTATGGTAGGTTATGAATGAGGATGAGGGGGTAGCTGGATAAAAGAAAATGGAAGAAGACTTGAGGAGAAGGTGCCACAAGCTTGTAGCTTGATAAACCAACTGAAATCCACCACAACAAGGATGTTGATGAGGATGATAGTAAGCACCACACCAATGAAGGTGATAAGCCAGAAACGCCACAAGAAAGCTTGATAAGTTAAAAGGGTAGGAGCAAAGCTCAACTAAAACAACAAAGTGTTTTTCTCTTAAAATTCAAATCTGAATTCTAAAAAAGGCAACAACCAAGCTCCTTGATTCCTCTTTGGTAAGTTTCCCACGGTTTGAATGCTATACCACGTGGCTGAATTCATTAAATGGCATGATTCTCCATAAAAGGCAAGTAATCAAGCTCCCACGCAACTCATTAATTGAGGAATTCAAATGTGCATGCTGAATAAGGTAATATCCACCCATCTTGAGCTATACTTGGAAAGTAATCAATAGGTTTCAAGGCTTGATGGAGAGTCCACGTTTTGAATGTTTGAATAGGACTTCATGGCTGAATGCCAAGTCACAAGGCCCCTTAAATGTTTGATTCAAATCAGCCTTGCCTGATAAGGAAACAACCACTCATGTTGAGCTATATTTGGTAAGTAATTAATCTGCTTCAAAGCTTGATGACCCAAACAGCTGGAATTCAAATTTGAGCCATATTTGGAAAGTAATAACATGGTTTCAAGGCTGTCAACACGTTTTGGGTATGGTAGTTGATTATTCTCATTGTGGCAATGCAACCACAAATTCTCCCTTTATGGTAATAGGCCCACGGTTTCTTCTTGGTCATGAATGATTGGATGAATGTTGCTTAAGCTAAATATGGTAATCATAGGTTACATGGCACAAGGCCAATAATGAACATCCACGGCTATAAAGATTAAAACATAAACTAATCTTATTGTGCAAATAAAAGAGATAAAACATAAAATAAATTAAATGTGGGACAAATGACCCCCACTTTATTTAAGTAAAACGAAAATGTCCTTAAGTTCTTAAGGAGAATTGGTCTTTGGATAGTAAGCTTGATGGGTTTGTTGGTCTTCTTAGACTTGGGTCCAATCAGGTTGTTATCACTCCACATCTTAGTCATCAATTCTTGGAAAATCCAATTGTTTAGATTTATTCACTAATTCAATTTATTCGATTTTCAAAGAATGAATGACTATGATATGAAGTATGTTTTTTCCACTTACTCTTGAAGTAAGTGAATCATTTCCTTATACATATATAATCTACATTATAGTTTCCTTGTTTCTTACCAACATTGAAACGTGTAATATTGCACTATGTGGTGATGTTTGGTGATGTTCATGACTTTGAATGTGTAGTCCAAAGAAAAGCACCCATAGCAAACTCTCTTTTGTAGGGCAAATCACCAAGTGTAGGTAAACCATACTCCTTGAGGAGCTGGTCCAGCTTCCACTCAGGCATGTCCTTATAATCTTTGTGGGTATATCTTGGATAGTGAAGAGGCATCTGAAAGAAACTTACATTACTTTGCTTAGGGCTTTCCATCTCTCTCTTTTTTCTCAATATTACTTAATACTTAGCCACACTTTGAAAAGTTGCTCCTTATGTTCTACAAATCTATATGTGAAATGCTTTATTGGAGTAAAGAATATATACATACATATATATATATATATATAGTATGGAGCTAGTGTTACTAAGTTGATGACAGGCCCTATTGGCATGAAGGGTATCACATGAATGAGTTGGTGTACCTTCTTGCACGCATTAAGTTATAGTGTCTCTAATGTTTCATGTCATGTGTGACCGTGGGTGAGTGTTTGAGAAACTAATTAAGAGGACAAACAGAAGAAAAGGTGATATAATAAGAGCATCACATTACACATGTGACCTAGCTGTATGCACCAATTGCAGAAAAGGATCATAGTATTTTGTTATGAGTAACAAAAATTATATCTAAAAATAATGAATAAGTTGATGTATATCCATGTGAGACTCCAACTAGTTTCATCATTTATACAAAATTGTTTAAACTAGGTTTATCATTTATAAAAAATTGTTTAAAAATAATTTAAAATTTATATGTTAAACAAATTTAATACACATATCACAATGTTATTTGATATTATTTGATATTGGATATAGTACGTTTGTATATTACTTAAAAGAATATTAGTGATTCTAAGTCATAACATGTGACATGAAGAGAAAAGACCAACTTGTTTGTGAATCCCTATAACACTTTGTTCCCATTCCCAAGTTTGTTCATCAATTAAAGAAGGGTGACATGTGTCATAAAAACACCATTACATAGCCTTAGCATGCAATGTGTCATAAAAACATTATTACATAGCCTTAGCATGCAATGTGTCATAAAAACATTATTACATAGCCTTAGCATGCATTGTGTCATAAAAAATTATAACATAGAATAGAAGAAGAATAGAAGTAATTAAATGAAGCTATTGTAGGATGAATCATGTATTTTCACATTACTTTTACAGCTAATTTATAAATTGATCCAAAAAATGTCCTTCTACAATGCTAGAAAAGCTTACCAAATATTAAATCAATCCTTTATAATATATTGACATAACATTGGATTTCTACACCAAAAAGAAGGAATTGTAAGATGTCAATCTCAGAATAAAAATTTGATCAACACTCATGTCTACATATCTTTCAATATTAAAAAAAATCAAAAATAATAATTTAGGTTATGAAACTTAATTTCACATACAAACTAGTAAGTTACCCGTGCAAACGCATGAAGACAATACTTTCTTGTCGTATGATTAAGAACACGAATATTATATGAGCATTCATATAATTAAAAATATATATGTTACACGTACATTCACATAGTTAAAAAAATATATGTTTCTCGTGCATCTGTATTGTTAAGAACACACATGTGAACCATACATTCACATGGTTTAAAACACACATGTTACCCGTACATTCTCATTGCTAAGAATACACATGTTACTTGTGCATTCGCTTAGTTAAAACATACATGTTACCCGTATATTCACATTGTTAAGAACATAAGTGTTACCTGTGTATTAGCATATTCAAACACATAATGAAAATAAATGATAATTTCAAAATTGAATATTATAACAAAATTAAAATAAGAAATCGAAACATGATACCGGAAAAATTGTAGAAAATGAAACAATTTGATTTCAATTTCAATTTATGATCAAGAACATTTTTTTCTTATATAGTAATAGACAAATCACTTTCAACCAACATGCATTTGAGTGCAGTTTTGAAATTTCTTTTTTACACTGATTAATTTTTTATTTTGGTTTCAAAAAAACTATATATTATTAGGGATAAAACTAATTGCTCATAGCCAAATTTAATTTACTGCCATGGGAATAAGTAGACATCCTCTTTAATACTAAAGAGTCTAGTACTAGGTATAGATATTTTCACTCTCCCTCATATTTCAGTACTCGAAAATTCAGTACTATGGATCGAAGATTACAACCCAATTGAAATATATAATACTTCAATTCCTCAAACAATATTTGACACCCATTAGGGATCCCATTAAGACTTTTGTCAAAATGTTCATAAAAGATAAATGGATGAACAATAAATTATATATTTTGTTTCAATGAAAAAGTATACTATCAATAAATCATTTATCATTCTTCTATATTACTTTTGTTTAAGAGTTAATAAGATCAAAAATAACATATGAGTAATATATTAACAAGGGTGTGGATCCAATTACTCAAAGAGTAAGTTTTTTAAACTTACTCCACATCTTAACCATTAATTCTAGGGAAATCCAATAGTTTGAATTAATGAGTAGATCTAAACCATTAGATTCCCCTAAAACTGATAGATAAGATATGGAGTAAGTTTAAAAATTAAACTTAGTCTTTGAGTAAATATATCTCTCATCTATTAATAATGTATAAAATATTTAGTCCAAATGTATATATTATTAACTTTCATCACTTATTATATTATCATGACTACTACTCTAGTCTCTAGAAAGCAAGATATCTTATCATTTCAATAATTGAATGATGATAACTCTTTGTTATGTCACTACATAAACCAATTCGTCCACACATGCATGCTCACCATACGATCTAATTCCAAAACGCAATTACCACCATCCAATGATTGATGAGAGAAACATCTAACGGTTTTAACTGAATGGGTCCCAATTCGATACTTCACCATTATATTGCTTCTAATGGAATGCAATGATACACGTCATTATTAATCAAAGGCTCAAAATTAAAAACGTTAAGACACGTATAAAAAGCACAAAGATCATATGTCTCACTTCCTGTTTCGGGTCAATCAAAATTTTATTTTTTGTTATTTTTTATTTTTAAATTTTTTATTTTATTCATGTAACAACATTGTGATTGACTTAGTACATAGAGCGGGACAAAAAGTGAGATGGATGATCCTTGTCCGTGGGCCATGATTACTTTCAACTTCACGGAAACTGTACTTAACACCTTATCATGGGTCCGACCACAGGCAATTATTACCCACTTATTCTTCACCCCGGTTATTCAAATCATAGGGCCCGGCCCATACGACTATTTGGGGTGACTGGAGAGGTTTCACCACACATGACATCATAATGTGGGGGTGGCCCATTCATGATTTGGATATCTAGAGGCCCAATTTTACGGCCCGAATAGTGAAGCCGATAAACAATACCATATTTTGTTAGAAGTTCATAATTTATAATTAATATATTTAATACAATTATATCAACTATTTATTTGATGTGTTATAAAATAAATAATCTAATTTTAATAACTCATGACTTTTAAAACTGACAAATAATATGAACTTACACCAAAAAGTCTATGTCTATTATAAAAGTTACTCATTAAAACATATGCTTGTTGGCCATAAGGGAAAATATATAAGGATGAGTAAAAATCCTCTCTATTAATTGAGAAATAAGCACTACAAAAAACAAAATAAAATATAATATGTTGATATATTTTTATTCTTCTATATATATTAAAATGATACTTTGCCATTAAAATACAAGGAAAAATAAGTACTTATTTCTTCATTAATAGATAGGATACTTGTTGTATAACAATCGACAAGCTAAACACTATAAAAGTCATGTCAAAGAGGTAAACTCATCCTAATGACTAAGTCATCACTAATATGGAAGTAACATGTACCCAAAATGTTGATAAAGTAATGTTATATTCTATTACTAAATTCTCCTACTAATCCTCTTACTCACAAAGAAGTGAAATATGTCATAAATTGATAATTTATTTATTAGTGATTGGTTTACAAGTGACATATATCACATTCATGTGGTTAGGAGGATAGAGAATATATCATTTTTTTTCCATGTTGATAACTTGTTCTTACTCTAGGAATTGGTTTATTATACTGAGAGTGGATCAAAATAA